CTAAAGGTGGGGTATGTCATTTATTTCAGAAACACTTTTTTGTTATATTCCATTCAATGCTCTTAACATCCCGATAGCAATGAATACATTAAATGCTTTGACAATAAATACATAAAAACATCTGTGGAAGCCAATAGCTACTGTAAAAAGCACGACCAATCATCTGAGCCGGCCCGGCTAAAATAACTGGATGGCCTACCTGCCTGTCAGCCTTCCATCTGTGCACAAACTTATCTCGTGCCCTCATTGGTCATGTGCGCGTTCGTGTGTTGGAGGAGGGGCTCTGTAAGGAAGTGGCAGATTATTTCCTCACACTCGAGCTGGTTTCTCCAAAATTGCCTACCCCACCTTTAACAAAGAAAATACACATTTGGGAGAGACTTGGAATATACAAATAAAGATACATACTGAGTTTGAGTGATTTGATTTATGTTATGTTATTAACCAAATGATGGTTGCAATTGGTCCTACTGCTTCTTGCAGTTTGCACATTTTTTCCGATGTCCATGTTTTTGAAAACGTATTCACCCAGGATTTGATCTCCTGCTGACCTGTGTTCCCTCTTCTCCTTGCCTCAGGGTTGCAACCCGTTTGCAGCAACCGGACGGAGCAAACTGCAGAACAGACGAGCGACTGTGAACCAGCAGATCATCAAACAGATGAGGATGAGGGCTGGAGCCGAGAACCTGCTGAAGTAAGACCTCAAATGATGACAGATAATACATGCACGTATCTGTGTCTGCTTATCTCTCACGCCATTCATCCGTTGTTATTTATTTAAACGCATTGCTAGTCAGTTATGTAATCGAGGTATTTGTGACCTCAAGTAAACTTCAGTGGGTCTGTTGATGTTGGGACGCATTGGTTTGGTGTCCTTCATTGTTCTGTCATGAATTCTTAAGATACTTCAAACGACAGACGGCATTAGGCAACACCTCAAAGAAGAGCAGTCCATGAACCATGAAAACACAGATCTGTGGTTTAGGAAATCAAAATACTTGATTTATTCCTGGAGAAATTGTTTGTTTTTTTTAGTTTGATTACATTTCAGAATGAAATACATTTCAGATAAAAATATGTATACAAACCAGGCCTGGAATTTTGTCATTTTAGGGGCAAGGCCACTTGGCCTTTTGAGTTGTCAATTTTTTAAGGGCACAAAGGCCAAAAGCCAGGGCACCAAGGCCATAAATTAAAACAATGATTTAACATACGATATGAAGTGACTACGATTGTATATGCATTTACAATACTTTTATATATATTTATTAAGCATCATCTTATCTTTGACAGCTAACAACACAGCGCTAACTGCCTAGCACTAGATCAGGGGTCGGCAACCTTTTTGATATGAAGTGCCATTTAAAAAAAAAAATGTTATCAGCGTGCCAACGATCGAGAATTATCAACGGGGGGGGGTGAGGAGCTTGACGCCCGTCAACTATCAGCAGGAGGGCGGGGGAGCCTCGCTGCGGGGAAGCAGTGTGTGGACCTGTCAGCGCAACTTACATGATGCCGAATTTAACAAACACATTTAAATAATTGGTTTAAACGGCATAATAATAAGGACGATCGTCCGTTCTGTGATTCTCCAGAACACACAAGTTATGATATTAGCTGCAGAGTGATGCAGAGTGAGATGAGATCGCTGTCCCTTTAAGAGAGAGAGAGAGGGGTGCGGCTTGTGCATGTGTGTTTGTGAATGGTAGAGCGACAGTGAGGGAACGTGTGTATGTTTCTGGAAGTGAAACGGGAAAGCAGAAAAACAGAGGTCTGTGATGTATTTTGTGAAACAGAAGAACAGCTAAATAAATGCAACGTCCTCCCAAGAACAGCTCGCCTCTCTCCAGTCATTTAAGCTAAAGTGGGGTATTGAACCTGAAGCTTGTTGCTTCTGCCCTCCTCGACTACGGTCTGGGAGCCGACAGGAAAGTTCAACACACAGATGGCCAGTCCGCCCCTTTGTAGCATATTATTTCGATGAGCAGATCGCCACTGGGCTTTCAACTAAAGACACAGCCATGCAAAAACTGCGGCATTTGTACAGCTCCTTATGGGTATAGGCCTACTGC